GAGTGTGCAAACCAAAGTAGCCTCGATGAAATAAGCATCTATGTGCAAACCTTTCGCCCATGATCAACCGATCCTCGATACTTCCTGCTAAGAAAACCACCAAACTCCCAAACTCCAATTATTCAAAAAAAATAAAAAGCATAAACGAAATACACAAAAAAGCAGTAAATGAAACTTGGGTTGCCTCCCAAGAAGCGCTTGTTTAATGTTATTAGCTTGACGAAACCTGTACAAATCAACCGGGGTCCAAGAAGAAGTGACGGTCATGCCACGCCTTCATATTTTCAAGAAGAGGCAGAATAGAAAATGTGGCAAGAAGGCGGGTATAATGATTTCGTGTGGCTATGTTCTGAATGAAACGGGTCTGGGTAAGAGCAATCCCCAACTCTAGATACAAAGTTTTTCTCACTCGAGCTATGTCGTCAACCTCTGGAAGTATAAGCTCATCTATGGAGCAAGTCAAACTAGATCCTACCCACTTTGTAACACAGTGCAATGGCTTCAGAGACGGATACTCTAGCTTGGAGGAGGGAGGGGTGACTTGAGAATCAGGCCCATGGATTTCCTCCTTTAAGATATCATCAACGTCTCAGTGGAGCTCATCCTCTTCTTCTTCTGCCTCACACATTTGCTTCATCATACGGGCTTGAGTATCAAGCATAAAGTGGGGATAGTCGACTTGGTCCTCGATTGAGTCGATATGTGCTGTAAAAATCTCCATTTGTGAGCTCAGTCGAGCACATCCGAGTTTATTCTCCACATCTCGAGTGGTATGGCCAGATAGACGAGCAAGACATAGGTCGAGCTTTTCATCGTATGTCAAAGCAGCCTCCCGAGGGTCATGTGTAGATTCGCCTTGAGCGGTGGGCTCGGGAGAGACATTGATAACTCGATCCTCCAAGACTTGCACGCGCTCCACTAGGTTCTTGATTCTGGACTCAATATTACTCCTTCAGGCCGCTTGGGAGGCTAAAAGAGCGAGGACTTGGTCGAGCTTTGCATTGTATTCTGAGGAGTCCTCAAGGAACTCGTGTGACTGCTCAATAGGCAAAGAATCCCACTGCTGCTCATAGGGGTATGTCCAAGTTTGGCCATAGTCCCAAGAATCGTGGTATGGAGGTAACTGGTTCAGAGGGGCACACCGGGCTGCGATCTCTTCTTCGTGAGCTAACCGGGATGATGCAAAAGCATAGATACGATCGAGCTTCTTGTTAAGCTCGTGGGACTCGTAATATTGCTCGACCGGGAAGGGGTCCCAGCGTTGCTCGGAAGAGTATGGATACGGTTGGACATAGTACCCGGTGTGATAGCTTGGCCCGTTCATCCAAGATTGGATGTGCAGATATGGGAAAGCATGGTGGAAGTTCATAATACCTGCACACCAAAACAGAACAACCACACATAGCTACGAAAAGAAAGAAAAAAAAAACAAATATGCACAAAAGAAAAGAAAGAGAAAAAAATACGAAAAGACAAAATAAAGAGATAAACAAAAAAAAAATAAATAAATAAAGAGTTTTTTTTTATGGGGTTAACGACGCTAAGAACTAATAATGGCCGCTATTAATTTACACGCGAACTCTCTGTTGCGGATTAGCGGCCGCTAACCCAGTGTTAGCGGCGCTAACCTTCGATTTTTTTTTTTAACAAAATAAAAATAAGACAATAGTAATAGAAAATAACAAAATTAAGAGAAACACTGAAATTAATCAGATTCACAAGAACAAGAGAAACACAAAAAAAAATAAAATCAAACACCAAAACTAAATATCCTACTTGCCTTCCCCGGCAACGGCGCCAAATTTATTGTAGACAAATTATTTTTATTTTACCGAGCACCGAATCGAATGATTCGTTTCCCGGGTCGATCTCTCGAGGAAGACTGTTCGGAATCTAGAATTGGTGTTGATAACACATAAAAGCAAAATAAATCCTACACATTCTAATAATGATAGGGTTGGAAAATGATTAACTAAAATATCAACTAATAAATAACATAAAACGATAATCTATCTAAAAATATAAATGGAACAATGATAAAGAAGCTAGGGAATCGGGAATAATTGTTTCCGCTTTTACACACATTTAACGGCAATCAATAACTCGGTTAAAAGGCTCGACTAATTAACTCATTTAGCGGTTCAACCATACTAACTCTCGTAATATATGGAAAAACATAAACGAACAAATTAACGAAACAATTAACACATAGACAATAAGTCTCCGAACATGTCTACTCCAAACTAGCCAAGTTCTATCAATTCCTCCCCTCTCGGTTTTGAAATCGATTAGTTATACGACTCCTCCCCTCTCGGTTCTAAAAGTCGCAATACGAAGAATTAACAAACTTTAACTTAACAAATTCGTATTTAAGCACAAATCAAAGTGTCACTAACCTAAGTGTCACTCTTAGGTTATAAAAATTTACCAAGTATGATTTATCAATTCATAATTAAAACAACTCGTCAACATTGAATTATCATCATGCGTATAAACGAGATCAAACCGGAATGATTATCCCCTACCCCTAGCTAAAAGATTAGCTACATATAATAAATTCAACACAACAAAATATTTCTCCTAAATTAACCATTATGCATGAATTAATTTAAAGAGAAAGTAAACTTACATAACAATCTTCAAATGTTGAATCCATATACAAGCTTCTCCAAATACAACATACAATAAGAAAAGAAAATAAAAAGAAGAAAGAGATGAAGAAAATGAAGAGGGAAGAACCCCTCCTCTTGTTCATGCATGCATGGTAGATGATCCCCCTTTGGTGGTGAATGATGGATCCTTTTATAGCCCAAGTAGTCTCCCCTTTAGTTGTAGTTTGATGAGAAATAGCTGAAAATCATGCCTACATAATGCCTAACTCTCACCAATTCAACCACAAGGTCAAAAATAGGTAAGAAAACAGACCCAACTGCTGTCTGTGGTGGTTAGCGCCGCTAAGGTGGGGCTTAGCGCCGCTAAGGTGCGGCTGATTCGCACGTCTTCACTATTTTAGCTCGTTCGGGCTCGTTTTAAGTCGGAATTGAGTTCCGTTTTTTCCTACACGTAGCTAACAAACCCCTCTATCTAATGATGCTTGCAAACCACACTTTTGTCCAGAATACGAATTTTGTGGAATTTTCAATCTTTAAAGGGTCGGTAACTTGCTCAACTTTACATTTCAGCTCCGTTTGGATTCATCCGAACTCGAAATCGAATTCCGCTTTTTCTCACTTGTCACCAACTAACTTATATAGTTAGTTGTTCTTGAATGGTCAAGTTCTGAGCTTAATCTAATCCTCACGGGGTTTTTGACCTGCACACCAAAAACAAGAAGAAAATGAGAAAAATACACGAAAAACACAAGAAAAACAAAAATAGATCAAAACACATAATAAATTATAAAAACGAATAAAAACCAATAAAAAGATCCTAAAATGAGGGAAAACAAAGAATAAAACAATAAGAAAAATTGCAACAAAAATAGTACAAACAGAGGCGGCCAGCCTAGAGTGGCGCCCAAGTGATCAATGTTAGTCGCGGTGTGGAACTGTCGAGGACTGGGTGGGCCCTCGACGGTTTCCCAAATCAAAGAGACTTTCAGATCTCATCACCCCTCTTTCTTTTTTATTTCTGAAACTAAAAACTCTTCTTCATTTGTTACAACGGTTGTTCGTAAGTTGGGATTTCTTGATCATTACAAGTTGGTGGATCCTGTTGGTTTGAGCGGTGGGCTTCTTCTTCTTCGGTCCTCTGAGGTTTCTATTGCGCAAATAGTTTGCCATGACTGCTTTATAGTTGTGGAATACTCACTTAACAATGAAGGGCTGAGTTGGGCGGTTTTCGTTTATCTTAGTCCGTATGCTGCAGTCAGAGCTGAGCAATGGAAACTTCTTGAAGATGAGAAATCCAACTGGAAAGACACTTGGTTCATGATAGGAGATTGGAACGATATTTGCTCCAACTCTGAAAAACTGGGAGGTATACCTAAAAATGATAACAACCTTGCTGGGTTTAAAAATTTTATCAACTCGATGTCTATGGAGGAAATCAGGATGAATGGCTTTCCATACACTTGGTGTAATCATAGATTTTCTGAAGGGCTCATCCAGGAATAGCTAGATAGAGGCTTTGGCTCTATGGATTGGCTTCAACTCTATCCCAATGCATCTATCTCCACCTTTGCTCGTAGTGCTTCAGATCATTCACTGCTTAACTCAAAATGTCTCAATCCTGATTCTATTTCCCAATTTAGGCCAATAAGTCTTTGTACTGTGGTTTACAAAATTCTGTCAAAGTTGCTTGCTTTAAGACTCAAAGATTGTCTGCAATCATGTATTAGTGATTTTCAGTCTGCTTTCATTGATGGGAGACAGTTTCTTGACAATGTTATCATAGCACAAGAAGCATTCCATTTCATAAACAGACACAATTCTGGGAAAAATCATTTCATGGCCATCAAATTAGATCTGATAAAGGCACTTGACCGTGTAGAGTGGTTGTGTGTTAAGAAGATTATGCTTCAGATGAATTATATATTGATTTCATATTTCAAATATATAATTTACTTAATGAATAATTTTTATTATTTATAACTATTGATGAATATTTCTTACCCCTACATCGCACGAGATTCGTACTAGTATGGTATAAAAGAAGTATTTAATAATATATATTTTTCATTGTTTGTAGTTATTTTATTTCATAACAGATGAGATGTGAAAAATTAAAAAATCATATTACAAATAAAGTCTAAAAAAATATAAAATATTAGTTCCTCCGTACATCGCACGAGATATACACTATGATAAATAAACAATCCAATTTATTTATTAATTAAAAAAAGGCGCGAAGATTTTGGCGGGAAACCCACATTGTTCTCTAGCGCGGGAGAATCACCCAATCGCCATATTTTAAGGCTTATGAACCCTAGGGATCGAGCAAAAGACACTCAATCTCTCGAATTGAAGGATAAATTTAAGAAAAGGAACCAAAAATCGAAGATGGTGGGGCTGCCATATGATTGCCTTGCAAACCCACTGGGAGCCGTCCGGTTGACATTCGAGAGAGTAGTGGCCTCCGGCTCGGATTCTGCTGCACTTGATGGCAGCGACTGGGGCGCCGCCGATCTCTTCCGTCAGTTTATATATGATGATGGCGGTCTCTCTCAGGTTGGCGTGATCTCCTCAACGTAGTTGCTAATTTTACAACCTTAGCCGTTTTTTCCTTCATTTTCATTTTTAGGATTTCAGTTTTGTAATCCTACCCTTTGTCCTTAGATTTCGAATCGAAGGGTGCATGTCGTGAGCGGTGCCATTATAATTATATGTTCTGGATTTGTTTCAATGTTTGTACCGTAGAAAATTCTGGAAATGCTGAATCCGAGTTCTATTGTAAAGCTGATTGTTAGTCTAAACCCTAACATCTATCAAGCTGTCACGTTTGATTAAGTTTTGGTCCTATTCTTAGATCTTTATGTGTCTCTCACATGAGATGACTGTAGACTGATTTTTGCTATTTGAGTATAATTTGTTCTCAGGTGCCATTGCTTAACCCATCGACAATTAAATGGGTTCTGCCTAACACACTTGTTCGCTTTCGTGGTATGGTACAAGACATGTTGGGCAATGAATACTATGTTGGTGCTTACAAGGTACACTTGTTATCTTGTAAAAAGGGATTCGGTTAAAGATAATCTATTTAGGTTTTGCCTCAACTTTCACAATTTGCGATTTATATGTTTCATACCTTTTCTGTTAGGATGGTGACAAGTGGAGAACAAATAAGTTTGCCGATGTTTCCCAATGTCCTGTGGATGCTTCATCTGATATGCGAATTTGGGAGCGCCGACTACTTTATTGTGTACCTGTAATGTGATGTTTCATTCTTCTTTTTCTTTTTTTTTCTTTGCTATTACATTGTTTTTTGTTCAGTTCTCTTTGAATTGTTCTGTGTTGTCTTCAGTGAAGTTAGTGGCTGTTGGCAATTTTAATTCTTATTATCATTAACTTTCTTGTTTTAGGTTCCAGGGCAGAACTCATGGGTTGAATCTTCTAATGAAGCCATGAAGAATGTATACACAAATTATATATCCCCACAAAGGGAGAAGCGCCAGAGGGAAAATGGTGCAAATATGAGAGATGTTGATGTTGTGGTACCCCTTTTGTTTACATTTTTAACTTCAGTCTGTTAAATAAGGAGCTGAATTTAGATAAACAAAATTCATTCCTTAAATTCCACTTAAATCATTTGAATCATCGTGAAGGTTGAAACTGCATGTCTCTTTAGTTGTGAATTTTTTATATAGAAATTATTGAAACTAACTACGTCGAACATGTTTGCTCATCAAAGTTACTTCTGTTGACAGGAGGCAGGTGGTGTCCCTGAGGATTCTCCAAATGCTAAAAAGATGGTGAGTAAAAGTAATTTCATAACTAATTTTTCTCCTTTGCTTCACCTCTCTTCAGTTATGCATTGGTAATATTCTGAGTTATCCAAACCTGTCTTTCTAAATATAATTTGATATCGTGGTACATAATTTTGTTCAGAAGTGGCTATTTTACTTTTGTGGTCTGTATTAAAATGAACCTAATTTACTAATCTTTGATTTAGCTTAAGCTATGAATATTTAGTTCTCTTATCTTTTCTATTATTAGAGGGATGAAGGATTGGCTCCAGAGTCGTTAAACTTGCAGAATACTGTATCTGAAGGAAGCTCTACTAGCTCTGGTTTGGTTCCTGTTGAAAAGAGTTCTTTCTCCTGTCTAGTGAAGGTTTACTATCAATTTCCTACCTAATATCCAGTTTAAACACTTAGAATGTCTTGAGTATAATATTTATCACTTACTATGATGATCTCAATGTTGACATCTGCAGATATATGACTCTCCAGAAACCAACTTGAAGCTAAATGATGTTTTTGAGTTTGTTGGCATCTTTACTTTTGACCCGGATCTCACTGTAAAACGAGAAGATAATGATGAACTGGCAGAGAACTTTGAAGATTCATTACTTCATCTACCTCCTACCAAGGTATCTTTCTAATATTTACTCATAGTTTGTTAAACTGATTTTGTCTAGTCTACAGACTGGGTGGCTGACTATTGTTGAAGCTAATGCTTTTGCATACAAACTCCATTATATATTGCAGGCCTATTTATATATTGCAGGCCTATTAGCTTTGACTTGGGTCTTTGTTTTGCCTATCATTAATATATTAAATTTTGATATTGCACCTCTAACTTGGTGACTGAAGTCATGTTCTATTAACATTTTTATTCTAAAGCTAAATCTTTTACATGTTCATTTAAATAACAATACACTAGATTCAGGTACCATGTTAGAGGAAAAATATTGCAAATTAATGATTAATATTATTTCACTCGTAAGAATTGGACATAAAATTTGTTCCACTCTACTGAGGTAGTATTTTGTTGTAACTGCAGGTGCCTCGACTTCACTGTGTTTTACACCGGAAGCTTGAGGCTACTGATTATATTTTGAGCCCTCAGTGGGAAGTGAGTTCTGCAAGCTTAAACTTAGTCCTTACTCAATACTTCTGCTAGTTCTGCATTTCCAGTTAAACCCGTTGTGTTCTCGGGTAGATCACATCTTCTTAACATTCTGTGTGGTTTTAAATAATATGGCAGTTAACGCCCAGTGCAATTAAAGAAGTTCGTGAATCTCTTATTGGACATCTTGCTGCTGTTCTTGGAAATGACAGGATGGCAGCTCAATATATGTTATTGCACCTGTTATCCAGGGTATCAAAGATCCTACCTTTTGCTGACTACAACAATATAAAGGACTGAATGCCTTTGATATTGCAATTGCAAGCTCCTTCAATAATTATTTTATGGGAAAATTTTAACAGTCCTGCTTTCTTCTTTTTACTGCATAACCTTGGGATATTTAATAGCATTACTGAATGAATTTGTGTGCAGGTGCACACAAGAGTAGATTCAATTGCTGTAGGCAAGTTATCTCTAAATCTCACTTGCCTTGGCAAAGAAAGTATGTCTGTGTTTGGGAATCATCTCAAATGTGCTATAGAGAACCTTGTACCATTCACGCAATGCCTGCCTCTTACAATCGATTATCTCAACACTGTTTCCCTTGCCCCAAAGAAGGATTACAGCACAAACAGGCAATCATCAGATAAATAGTTCCTTAATTGTTCAGAATATTTTTCTTTTGATATTTATCATAATGAAGTTGGGTCCTGTGCACAGGTTGGTATCTGGGTTTCTGCAGTTAGCTGAAGGTTCACACGTAATCATTGATGAGACCCTATTACAGACAGGAATCCTGAACTCAACTGGGGTTGAAAATGCAAGAATTTTGAAAAACATGATGGAGTTGCAGAAGGTCGATTTACATTATATGTTACTTGCTTGAATTTGTGGCAGCAGTTGAATAAGGTTGCTTAATATAAAATTTTATTCTGCTCTCCAGGTTGAGTATGATTTCACATATTATAAGATGGAGATGGCTGCGAATATTCAACTGCTGATCCTGTCTGATGGGAAATCAAACATCCTGCCAGCTGATCTTGTTCTCCCTCTTCATCCATCTTCAGTCGGGTGCAGTTCAGTAGTGAATGAGGAAATGTTGAATGCTTGGAGATGGTATTTGGCTACCATGAAGTCACTCTGTCATTCGATTGAGCCACATATGCAGAAGGTCAGAATTAAGTCCTAAATTCCAGGTTTACATACCTGATTTTCCCTGTCACAATCTGAATGCAGTTATTCTCCTTCCAGTATTGAAGGATATAATTATTAGGTTAGGAACATCCATGGCGTTAAGGAGGTATTTTATGATTTGCTGGTATACTAAGTTCTTATGAAACAAAAAAAATATGCTGAACTCGGGTACTTTTTAACTTGCTCACATTCATACCTTGAATGTGGTATGTTAAGATTTTGTATTTTTTGGAGTAAATTTGTTTCTAGCACTTTTACTGCCGTTAGTTTATTTAGTTTTTAAAAATTGGTTAAAATGATGTTCTTGACTCAGGTTACTTTGTACATAGATTGTTTGTTTTCGAGTAGGTTTTTGTCAAGGAAATAGGCATAAAAATTTATTGTATGATTTAACTTATAGATTGTCGAAGATGATTTAGTTGCTGCCAGGCAAGCTGACAGAAGTTTAGGCACCCATGAATTCAGCAGGTAACAAGGTCACAAAACCAAATATATATATATATATATATGTATTTTGGTTCAATTTAAGGCAAATCGTTGTTGAGTACAATTGTTTATTTTTCTATTTTTGCATTACAGATGGCTTACAATGGGGCGCCTCATGTCGGTGAGCTTTGGTGAGACGAGTCTGTCGATGGAGCACTGGCAGATGGTGAAAGAACTCGAGAGGCTCAGAAAGGAGAGACTTGGCTGAATTCAATCTACTGCAATCACATTGTTGTAAATTCAATCGACTTTCAGTAATTGTTGAACACATTAGTGTCATTTATGTCACTTTTGGCTGAACCGGACTTAGAAAATAGAGTAATGAGGTCCGAATATCTATCTTGGCTCGGCTTTTGTTATTAAATAATGCAATTTCTACACCTTGAAAAGGAATCACTACTAGGCAGGTAGTTTGACAAAATTCTGCAGTTTTTAAACTTTGCCTGAAATGTATGTGTAATATCCCGAGATATTATCAGTATAAATTACGTTTAATTCCGATATAGTAACG